CGCAGGCGACGAAGCTGACGTAAAAGTCGGGACGCCTTCGGTACGCGTTCTTTGGTCTCAGGTGGGTGTGTAGCGGCCTTAAAGCTGGCTACACACCAACCCGATTTTGGGAGTCAGAGGCCGTCAGAGGCATTCGGGCATTCGCGGCACCCTACTCAGGTTGGTGTGTCCCGCACCGTCGTCTCTTTACGGCACCTTTTCACACCTCCCGTGTCCGATTCAACATGTTGAATCGGCCGCGGGAGGTCAGAGAAAGTCGGCCCAAGCAATCACTCTGATTGGCTGTTCACACTACCGCTGCCTGCTGGTAAGGACAGTTATTGCCACTCGTCGACTGAAGTATTTGCGGTGTGTTCGTAGGCGCAGGCGACGTCGCTGACGTAAAAGTCGGGACGCCTTCGGTACGCGTTCTTTGGTCTCAGGTGGGTGTGTAGCGGCCTTAAGGTAGCTTCTAGCTTCATGTCGAACACTGACAGTAAGTCAACATTTCCCAGAGAGCTTTCTTTGAAATCACCAGGTAACGCTAAAAAACATAACATTTATATTGTATGACAAAGTGTTAATTTAATATCTCTTGCTAACGGTTTAGCTTACCCCCGCGATTCAAAGTAACGTCAACGTAGCTGTAATTTATGCTTTGCTTACATTTTCGCATTACTTGGAAGTTTACTGACATTTACATACCTTGTTTACCTGGCTCAAGTGGTGGCTCTGGGGTTGTTGTGTGAGCCACCACTTGAGAATTGTCGTCTGTTTTAAGAAAAAAAATTCTTATGTCCATCTTCAAAAACTCTGAGTCCGACTGTCTGACAGTTTAAACATTGTCACAGGATAGGTACCTGTCAGCCAATAAGACACGTTTATTTCCATGCAACTCTATGGTGATTGGTCTGGTGTCTTGCCTCTGTTGCATTCACTGAACACGGGAAATTACATTACTGCCGTCCTCTCTAGTGTCACGTTGAGGTTCAGGTAAAGCACGGTTAATGTATTATATTATTGAGGGAGAATTGTCCGGGGCTAAAGAATAAACATCCGGGGCTCTGGTCATGACTGAGCATAAGAGTCATGTGACACTGGTGTAAGAGGGCACAGTTTTAAACAATGAACTGCTGAAACAATTTCAAAACATTCATCTGCTACTTAGTAATATATATCTACTATCTAATATATATCATTCCAATAACTTGTATATAGACTCGTACTGCACTATTCCACATACTCACTTTATTTTAGAACTATTTTTCTTTTCTTTTTGTATTGCTCTTGCTATCTGTATTATTATTATGTTGCATTGTTGGAGAAGCCTGTGACATAAGATTTTCAACGACATAATTACTCTGTAGCTATGTTAGTTTGACAATAAAGAACCTTGAACCTTTTTGGAACTGTTTTTTTTACTTTTTCCGACAGATCTGAAAAATATAATCCTCTTGATAAAGATATTTTATAAAAATATTCTTTGTTAACCTAACCTGTGATCATTATGATAACATATGTTGCTTTATACTAGTAAAGCACATTCATAGTGTGATCATCTTCATCAAAGTAAATTAAGTTGGATATTGAATGAACAATTGAATGTTCGTTTTGATTGATTTGTTCTTCCTGGATTTAGTTCATGTTGCTCTTTGTGCCCTTTACTCTTTGATAAATATAGTTGATTAAAGTCACTCAAACAAATTAATAATATGTATAGATGAGCATGAAATCAATGATGGTATTGAGTAGTGCAAAAAATAAAAAAGGGGTCGAGTTTAGTCCAGAACTCTATTTTTAGGGTCCCCCCTTAAATGAAAGGAACATTTTCAGATTAGAAAAAACGTTTTATATAAAAAGTAAACTTTCTAGATAAGAGTCCCCCCTAGTTTTGTCTGGAACTAACTATTTAGTTAAGGGTCCACCTCAAATAAAAGCCAGGTACAGTTGGTGATTCCTAGTGTTTTACTGAATACAGCAACCTGGTGTGGCTGCACATGAGGTCAATGAGAGCGGACGTCAAGGACTAGGAACCAAAACTATTAAAAGAGACTAAAATGCTCCTCAGAGCTAGAACTGCAGAGCTAAGTGATGATTTTCTGATTGTCACAACCAGCAACACATTTCAAGTTTGACATTTCCATTGATACATTGTTCATATCAAATGATTGACTGACACAGCTATTCAATAAAACTCAACCTGACCACCTTTCTCCTTTGTTCAGCTGCCTCACATCCTCTCTATTGGACAGGCCCTGTTCTTTGTCCCATCCTGGACGGACAGCCCCTCTGCCTCTCTATTGATTACATACAGTTCTAAAATAAACATAGTTTGAGTCCATCCAAGCACCAGCCAACAACAGGGGCGAGAGACTGCTTTAGATTCATTAATATTTATAGGCTAACGCAGGTTTTTACAGACCTGTCACCGCTGTTGTAACTGCTGCTGTAGAAATGCATCTCAGAGGCCTGACAGTCTATTCACAGCTTACTCCTGGCACAGCTGAAGCCCTAAACACACACACGCACAATCCCACACACACAGTGACTTCTCATGATTTGTTCAAATGCTGGTCTTGAAGGGGAAAGGTGATTTTACACAATGTGAGGACTGTGAATAGGGCTGTTCATGTTTTCTTCACATTGCTGTTGCATCCGTGTGTGTGTGTTTGCATCCGTAGCGTTTTTACCACTTAGGTCAGGAATGACTTTCCTCTTCAGGAGCAGCTTCTTCCAGGTTTGTGACCATGACAGGGAAATTGTCTGTGTTATGGAGGTGAGCAGACCCCTCCTCGTGCCCTAATGAAAGACATACGCTGTTGACAACTTCTGCCTCATCAAATTTGCCGGACAATTGAATTCAGTAGTTTTCCCTCAGATAAAAATACATGCTGCATATACCGGTGATTGCTTTAACTGTGAGTGAACTGAAGCCATTTTCTGAGCTGGCCGGGGCCAAGTCTATTTGTATAGCTCTTAATCACAGTTACAGTCTCAAAAGGCTCTGAAACGCCCACATTATGGAACAACAAATGTGGAAATTAGTTAGAATCTGTTGATAAGCAAAGTGTGGACATTAAACAATACTATAGCAAAAGCAGGGGCTTTTTTTCTTGCGGTGAGGTGATGACTTTCAGTCCGTCTCATCGTTGTTTGTGATGGTGTTGACATCCTCAGCGCTGCTGTTGGAGCGACACACACCCACTGCCAATCAATCAAGCAATCAGCTGATCATCAAAACATCATTCACTGCACCTTCTCTTATCTGCAAACCTATGCAAAGTAGCAATGACCTAATTAGAGTCCTGCTCACACACACATACACACACACACACATACACACACACACACACATGCACAAACACGCGTGCGCACACGCACACACACACACGCACAAACACGCGTGCGCACACGCACACGCACACGCACACGTACACACACACACACACACACACACACACACACACACACACACACACACACACACACACACACACACACACACACACACACACACACACACACACACACACACACACACACACACACACACACACACACACACACACACACACACACACACACACACACTGGCAGCTGTACTGGTACAGTCAATGAGGTGGCTCATTGTGATGAATGGCTGGGCGAGGGTTTTCCCTGGTGTAATTCTCTCACCTGCACCCATCAAATGTTTGGTTCATTAATTCAAAAAGTCATGCCTGTCCTCTGAACGTTTTCACATTCAGGCTAAATGAATTGGAAACAAATCAAATCCAACAACCTGCAGCAACTTGGCAGCAGGTCACACCATGGGATCATTTTTACATACCCTTGAACTTTTTCTCACATGGTTGCGTCTTAAGTTTGGAAAAGTGATTTTTCTTAACTGTTGCATGCAAACAAACAAAACCAACTCAGCATGTGACGTAGCACACACTTTTATTATGTGTTTTATTATTAGTTGTGACTGTGAGTGTGGTTCACCCTATTCTTGTTAAACACGAGCGTCATCATTGTGAGTATGTTAGCATGCTGAGGTTAGCATTTAGCTCAAAGTTTAATAGCAAACTTTATCTGACGTCATGCATGCACCTCTAGCTATTTACATATTTACTTTTAGACTGTGAGTCAGATTCTGTTAGCCATTACAGCATCAACTTGGGATGACTCACATTGTCCTTATTTGTTTTGGTACTAAATGGAATTTCTAAACCGTAATCTAAATCTGCTTCTTCTTATTTTCTCTCCGATGGTCTTTTGCCCTCACAATCTCCATCACACTAAGGTCATTTGTCCCTTTAACAAACAAACCGTCCCCACCTCCACAACAGTGTCATTATCTGTGCTAAATAAAACGTGAGAAGTGTAGTTTCTCCTACGTGTTTTCTCTGTGGGTCTGGCTGAGAGTCAGCTGCCATCTGGATGTTTCAGCACCACGGACAGCGCACCGAGCAGATCCATTATTAATGCTTCTGGTGAGGATTTCCAGAAAGATCCACCTGAAAAACAGCAACCTTAAGAGAACACTATGCAAGGATAACGTAAAGACATGTAGAGCTTTTTTATCACCCAGTTGAGTAGAGTTATATAATCGTAGAAATTAACAAAAACTCATCTCCCAGCTTTTTATTTTCAGGAATACAGTTCAGCACTAATACAATTCATTGAGTTGCTGCTCCCAAACTGGTTTTATGACAAGGCTTGGTGCTGTAAAGGGGGTGTGGAGAGACTATGCTTCTGAAAGCCAATGATTTCTGCTCCTGCTCGTGTTTGTTTTCCCAGGCACCAACCAAAAGTAGTTAACCCACCTTTTCCTTTACCACAACGTCGCTACAAAGTCACCACGGGGTACCTGAGACACATGTAAAGTCCCTGAAGGAGTGTTGCAGGGATTTAAAAGTGGGTCATCGGTCATTGGTCCACAGGACCCTTGAGCATCTCCAAACCGAGCAGCCGCCTCCTCCTCCGCCACTAAAACACCACCCAGCAGCATTCAACCCGACGACTTTGCGGACTGCAGACTAGCTCCTCAAGAGGAGGACAAAAAAGGGAAAACTTTTCCTCAACAGGAGTCTGATAGGCGGTGGGGTAAAGTGATCATTGCGTTTGCATGGATTATCGATAAGTGCAAAAAAGAGGCATTAGTTATTAATATATTCCTTTAAAGAGCGGGGATGCGAGAGAGACGCCACAGTGGCGAGGATCGCCCGCGCTGAACCGGAGGAGTCACCGGCAGATGATGTCCCGATGTGAGAGTGCTTCCAGAGGAGACGAGGGAGGATGAAGAAGGGGGAAGAGGGCTCTGGAGCGGCAGAGGTGGAATATAATGAAGTTGAGTGGGAAAGGACTGTGCACCGTGTTCACCAGCACCCTCCTCTTCGTGTGCGCCCTGAGCGAAGTTGTGGTTGGATTAAGATGCGTCTCTTTGGGATCTACGGTGAGGGCGCATTTCCACCTCGGCGCCGCGGCCGGGGCTTTCTACTCCGGGCTCCTGGTGGGGGTCGGCCAGGTGCTGCTGGGCTCCGCGCTGCTCTTTTGCATGGAGAAGCCCGGCTGCAGGAATTTCTTCCTCCTCGGGGTTGTGGTGTTCTTGTTGGGGGTGCTCACCGCCTTCTCGGGCGCTGTGGTGGACGGGGACACTGCTTCTCTGGTGGAGAGGAAATACACCCACTACTGCTTCCACTCTTTGGAAGAGAGCTCTGCCTGCGAGCAGCTAAGGGATTACCAGCGGAGTTTGGTCATCTCCACTGTTCTCAGCACCCTGGAGTGCCTCCTGGGGCTCATCAACTTGGTGGCTATCAAAAGGTACAACTCAGCGCAGTTTACTAGGAGCCGACAGAGGCAGCGAGCCGAGGCGATCATCTTCAGCGAGGAGCGGGACTGCTCCTCGGCGGATTTTCAGCCGGTGTCTTACATCAATCTGGGTGTTTTTAACGTGTTGGACGAAACAGGTGCAGAAGTGCAGTGCGGGGGGCATCCGTCAATAGAGCTGCCGGGATACTCGCCAACAGACCCGGAGCTCAACCATTGCTTCCCTTTCTCATACCCGCTCCCCAGCGAACTCCCGCCCGCATATGAAGACATTTTCCCCGCTGAGGCATGCAACACATAGCCGCCCTGGAGCAGCTTTCTCCTTTTCCTCTGCTGTGACAATCAATGACTTTGTGCTTAAACAATCCCATTCTTCTTGTTCTTCTTCCAACTCACACAACAACAAAAAGCAGTAAGTTACAAAGGAGGACTACAGTGGATTTAATTCACCTGATTCCTTCGCATTCAGATATTTTCTTACACCTGCCTGGTATTGTACATCAGCAGTGAGAATATGAACTATACTCATCAAAGTGACAGGCCCAGACAGTGCAGGCCCATAAACGCAACAGCTTGCTAGTATGACAAAAGCAGAGTTTGTGTTTTGAATGTTTGCTGTTAAACATTTTTACTTGTGAATAAAAAGTGTATTGAACCTCAACTGACGTCATGAAGCTGCTGCAAATATAGCTTAATTCATTCAACTTTTCGTAGGTGATCCATTTACGCTTTCTATTTTTATCATAATCTAGAGCCATGAACTGAGAAGATACCTTGAACACATCATCACTATGCGATAATATTGAGTAATTTGCTTCAAAAAGCTGGGGAAGTAAAACAAAGTTTTAAAATAAAAAAGATCCTTCAAAATCAAGGTAGCCGATGCCAAAAGTCCCAAATGTTGGTTTAGCAGTGGGTCTTCCTTTCCCGAAATGCAACAGGGACACATTTGACTAGACCCTCCTTTTCTGTTATAAATGTGTCTCCAAGCCAAAGCTGAAGCAATTTATTCAGGCGTTGACCAAATGTCAGATAATAGTGAAAAATCCCATTTTTAAAAAAAATCCTCATGTCCTGTTCTTTTTGTCCCGACCCAAAAAAGGACATTTCAATATTTGAGAAGATGTTATTTTCTGTCATTTTTTATTTACTTTAACATAAAGATTATCAAAAATAATTGTCTGTTAGTGGACTAATGGTCACAGAAAGCATGAAATGTTTCTCCAATGTGATTATCACTGCACTAAAGTACAAGAAGCTTACATAAACGTGTGGGGTGCACCTTTAAAGGTCTTTCTGTGTGAAAAGGCCACGTAGCAGGTAAGATTAATGATATTAATGATAATGATTATGTGGGAAAGATTAGGAGTTAGGAGTTGGAAGCTGAAAGCACCTCATTTGCATTTAAGTAGCATGAGGGGTAATGATACAAAACCCTTCATTTTGGGGGTCTTTTAATGCATCCCAAATGTAGCAGGCTGGTCACATTTCAGACTGAAGGTCGTCTTGCACCTTTTTCAATGTCAAAGATTGAAGATGTGCAGCACAGCTTCCCATATTGTTTGATATGACTTCAAATTATTGATGAACTCCATCCGCACACAAATAAGCACATCCGCTCTCAGCGTGCACCCTCCGGGGACCATCAAAACACACTCAGCCTCTCTGTTATTCATTTCACTTAAAAGCTAAGAGTGACAGAAGGAAGCTATTTCATCATTATGGTCCCTTTTCACTCAAATTAAAGGGTTTCCACAGCCACATTTCTGGTGAGGGGCACTTGGAGGGAGAAACTTTAATAAGTTCTCCACTGCATCCGTGTAATAATATTCCTCTTATCCTTTTCAAAACCACTCTCTCGTTCTACTTAAATAGGGCTTCAAGTGCCAGAGCTGAATGCAGGGAGAAAAACCCCTCCTCCTCTCCACTTCATGCCAGTAAAAATATACGGCCATAACCCGAGATCTAGCCAGCAACCGACAAGGGAACAAAAGAGAGCTGATGTCCTAAAAGTTTCACGGAGGTGCTTCCAAAGAAAGATGCAAACAAAGCTAATGGTAAGAGCTTTTTCAGACAGAAAACAGAAAAGCAAGACTATGGGTTGGAAGCCTTCCTAACAGATAAGGTGGTGCCCATGCCAGCAGCAAGTCCTCCACCTGCAGCACAGGCAGTATCACCACGAATGAGCTCTTCCTTTCTTCATCTGTGTGGAAAAGCACTTTGCATTGGGCACAACAGATTCACCTTGAGACAAAAGTACAAGAGAATGTTTTCTGTCTTAGGAGCTGGTGCATTGAAGCAATGTTGCTCATATTACATATTCTTTACTCACGGAAAGTGGTCCGACATTCAGTAACTGAAGTCGAAATAATATGGCGAGAAGATGACGCAAATAGGCATCTTTGGTTTTGCTTGGCTGCCTCTGAATTGGATCTTGCAGAGACTTAATGTGGTATAAATCAATCTGAAATATAGACGGTGGTGGTATATGGAAATCCAGTCTGCGATGGTGCTGTGATCGCCATTATTAAATCACTGGGACCTTAGCACTGGCTTTGTTTGCGTGGGGAGGTATTGGAGCGAAGATGTTTTCCATTTTCCAGTTGATTGTCTGGCTAAGCTAAGCATAGAGAGAGATTTCCAGGATGCACACGCTTTACATAGAATCATTGAAATGATGTCCAGAATATATGCATAGAAGCCAAACTGTGCACAAACATCATCTCAGGAGGTAGATACATTTCTGATGATCTCCTTGAGAGACACACACAGATGCCCAGACTAACGTTTGTTGACATTTACAGCTAAAATCAATCGCCATTGACAACACAAGGAGGTTGTTTGAACCACACAGCAACAGAGTGATTTAAAGAAGACTGGGCAGTCTTCTTGCTCCCATTAGGACCCTGTAACATTTCACTTCACCGCACTAAAACCTTTCATTATGTCCATTATGGCTTTTCTTTAACATAGACTTTAGTTACTGCCATCACAACAGACTGGACACACAGTTTGGAACCCAGTGTTCTATGGGGTTTGATTTGTTCGGGACATTGGGAACAGTTAGTTCTCTGCAGTTTGCAGGCAATCATACATTGTAGAGAAATTCTCATCACATCAAGAATGGTGAAGAAAATAAATCTATTCTGTATTCAATACTCAGAATATGCCACATCCCATTTGAAGGACTAGTATGAACGTTTTCATGGAATTTATTAGCATTAATATAATAGAATATTTATAACTCTGTTTTATATAAACATTTTATAAACATTTTCAAAGTTAGGGTTAGGGGGTTAGGGTTGAGTCAAAAAACGTTTTGTACCATGCTGGAAACACGTCTTCTGCTGTGAAGTTGGGCATTTTAAAGATGGAGGTCTATGGTCTTTGTCTTGTTTTTCTTTAGTTGACTCAGAATTCCTTTATAAGTCCAGCAGTGGGGAAATGTACAGTGTTACAGAAAAACAGGCATGCATAGAATACCGTTCCCTGTAGCATTGCTTTACACGTTGCCTCAAGGCCACCATAGATTCTTCCACATGCTTGGAAAACGGAGCTGCAGGGCGGTGGAGTATTCAGTTGGTGCAATCTGCAGCCTCGATGCTGTGGAACCTATTCTACATTCTGGGTACTTGAGTACTTCACTTTCATGTCATGCCTCTTGATACTTATATTCCACTACAGTCCAGTAGAGTATTTCTCGTTGTACTCCTATAGGCTACATGTATTTGACAGATATAGTTCTTCAGATGTTTTCCTTACCTCTAAACGTGTAGAATCCCCAAACAGGAGAGCACCAGAGGGGTCACCTTTTCACACCCAAGAAGCACCCCATGCAGACGGTGTCCTCGCATAGATTTAGCACTTGACAAATTCAAGTAGCAACATCGGTGCTTCGACTAATCATGATCAATGGCTGTAGAATAATGACACCATCGGTTCTGTTTCCCTGTAAGCCTAACTATACAAATTCATTCTGTCTGCCTTCAGGTAGCGATCTCCCTTTCACAATAAAAGCCCTAGATATATGAATCACTGCCGACCAGAGAGAATCCTGATGAGAGGCAATTCAACATAATAGCTTATAGTATACCTCAGGTAGTTATATTATGCATATACCCTGAGTTTTCAAAAACAACAGCGAGAGAAAGACAAACTCACAGAGTCTAATCATCCAGTAGAGAACAATATATATGAATATAGAGTTTATTTATATAGCTAAGGTGGCCGACAGGTGCAAACCTGTTACAACGGCCCAACACATTTCCTGCGGTTTCAGAAACGATGCAAATATAAACCAACTTGACGAAAACAGCAGCAACAGCATTATAAGTGTGCCTGCATTTGCAACGTTTGGTTTATGCAGTGCATGTTGAGTTAAGATGGTAAATGTTTTGTAAATTGTGCACATGTGTAGTCAAGTTGGTGAAAATGTTTCTCCATTTTCATGTGTTTTGGGTTTATATATTTGCATCAGTTCTGAACCTGCAACGCGCTTCTCCTAATCGGAATGTTTTGGACCGTGAAATGCTTTTACACCTGTCGCCCACCGTACATACACCCTTAGGAAATATAAAACATTACAATAGACGCATTGAACAGGCAGTATTCACAAGGGTGAAGATATGTGTTTACTTCTGATGGGCATTAGAGGGGTTAGAGCAGGGGTGTCAAACTCAAGGCCCGGGGGCCAAATCCGGCCCGTGACTTCATTTTATGTGGCCCACAAGAGCTCTGAAAGAATATAATATGTTTATTATACGGTTACATGCCGATTTACAGAAACACGTTGCCCATAAACTACATGTAGACTTTTTTCTCAGAATTTGACTTTTTTTCTTCAAAATATTCCTTTTTCTCAGAATCTGACTTTTTTTTCAAAATGTCACTTTTTTTTCAAAATGTTGTGACATTCTCACTGAAGAGACTTATGAAGTTATTACCCTATCCGATAATAATCCAATGCAGAGGCAATAATGTAATATAATACATTATTTTATATATATTAAATATATGTATTTCTTTTTATTGCTGATGTGGCCCGAGATGAAATTGAGTTTGACCCCCCTGGGTTAGAGCCTTGCATAGTGCATCTTTTCATGACAATCCATCTGTTGACCTTTCTGTTCACATGTCAACTTATCTTTGAAATGGAGCTTAAAATAACACTTATGCAATATCAGAACTGCTTTAAAATGCCATTGTCAGGGAGTATCTGTAAGTGATTAGCTCCTTCACTGTATGAACTGTGCCTCCAAAGATAGCTCATGAAATATTTCCATATGAACAGGTCCTGCTGTTTCAGACGCAGCTCATAATGATGAGTAATTGCACATGTATAAAAAGCAAAGCCATGTCAGGTTGTAATGTAGGGCAGTGTATTATCTTAAGATCTTGTGCTGCCTTTTTTCTTTGGTCCTGGTGGCTGATGCTTTGTTGGATAGCAGAGCTGCATTAGTGTAATGGCAGCCCCCAGCGCTGGTCACACAAAGTAAGAAAGCGCTGAGTCGCATCTTTAGGTTCCTCACGCTGAGGAGTCTGAGGGAGGAAGCACAACTGATGACTCTGCAGATATTTGGATGAGTGATGTACGTGGACAGAAGAGTGCAGCTGACGGAGGAAGGGAGATTTAAAAAAAGTGTTTGGTGCT